CTGTTATGCTTTGATGCAGTTTACTTCTCAAAGCTTCCTGCACTAGGAGAGTCCCCAGTGTGGTGGTAATGTGTCCTGGAACTTTTAAGAAGTGTGGCCTAGTAAGTCATTTGGTTCTGGGGCTCTATGCTTATATATAGAATAATGCTGCCTCTTGAGAATGGGTCAGATTTCATAGGACAGGACTAGTTCTCTGGAGGATGGCTGTTTGTGGTGAGTCTGGCACTCACCTAATCTGTTCTGTGTGCACTGCTTGCCATTGCCACACGTCCTCCATTACCAGATTCTGTCCTCCCAAGGGCCCCTCGAGAGCCAAGTCTATGTGGCAGCTTGTTCTTAAACATCTGGAATGTTAACTCTAGATTTGTGGTCAACACAGGTGTGTCTTATGAAACAGCATTTACAATTTAAAAGACAGTCCTTTTATTCCTCCCTTAATTATGTATTCAATTAAACTGATAACATGAGCGTAAGAATTAGTGCAGCGTGTTACCTTTTAAGTGTAAATGCATCACTCTGTTTAGTGTTGGGAAAGCAGAGAAGGATGGGTGTTAGAATTCTGAGAAGCTGTTGAGGGTCACAATGCTTTATATTGTGAAGCTTACAGAGGAATCTACTAGCTCCTGTAGAAATGAGGCTGCTGTGTTTTTCTTCTCATAACAGTGAATACAGTATTCTTTTTCTGAGTCATTACAACCCCAACAAGTGGCTTTTCCTTGAATTAGAATGGCAGATAGAAACAAAAGAAGGCAGGTTTAATACATCAGTGGTGAAGTAAGCTTGTTTCTAATATAAATAAAAAAACTACATAAGTGATCTTAAAGATGGCAAGAGAATGGAATTTTTATGCAAATGACACAGTCTACATAATTGCTGATATAAACAGTTTTAAACTATAAAGTATAGAAAAAGGAAGGAGCGGCTGAACTAAATGAAAGTGTGTAAAAACAATCAACAATAAGGAAGAAATACAGCCTTATGGGAGGAGTAAAGAAAGCTTTATGGATTCAGTGAAGGGTGAGGGAAGAGCAGGTGCACCGAACTTCTGAAAGCACCTGAAACTTCGCTGAGGGTGTGGAATTAATAGAATTAATAGGAAGAAAAGGCCTGATCATCGAGTAGTCTCGTGAGATGATTTTTAGGTATTATTGGAGTGCTGAGAGTTTCATTGAGTTCTGTTAGATTCATGCATTTTGTGCATAATTGGTCCGCAGTAGATTTTGGCTATGATCCCTGTGCTGCAAAGAGCCAAAACATGGTTACTTCAAACAGACAAAACAGTTTGTAGAAGAGGGTGAATACTGTGGGTATTTTTTTATTTCATACACCCAAGATATGTCTTTCGTGTAATGATGACTTCAGGTTAGCACCTACACTTTGTAGCATACAAGGAAGGTGTTAGCATAAAGCTCAAGGGAGACCTGGGCAGATTCCAAATTGGCGAGGTGACCGAGTCAGAGGGACAAACATGCCAGGCAGACAGAACTTAGTGAGAAGCTGTATTAGAAAGGGGAGGGAAGGGGGAAGGAAAGAGAAAAGAGGTAAAGAGACACAGAGGCAGAGAGGACAGAAGAGAAGAGGGAGACAAGAAGAAGTCCTGTCTGACCCGGGGGGACAGCAGGAAAGAGAGGAGTGGTAAAGACATGAGCAGGCAAAGAGAGAGTAAGTAGGTGGGGTCTTTCTTCTAAAGGGGTCCTTTGCACCTGCAAGCGGACTATGCAACCATGGAACCCTGGGCTGACCAGGGTACTGCCTGAGTGCATTCTGCCAGGTGACAAGGGCAGGCCAGCAAAATGCCTGAATCCTTATAGAAGGCACTGTTTATGGCCAATTAGGAACAGGGATTATTTAGGAAAGATGACTTTCCGGATAGATGTTATATGTGGTGAACAAGGGAAGACACTAATTCTTCTGAGTGCTCACTCTACTCTCTTAAGCTATGTTTATTACCTTGTATATTGTATAAGCTTCACAAGAACCTTGGAAGGTGGTCATTATGTTCTCCATTCCCCATAGGAGGTACCTAAGACCAAAGAAGAGTATAGGCAAACAGCCACCTAAATGTTTCTGAGAAGTCAACAAACAAACAAAACAATAAAACCCCACAAAAAACAAAACTCCATGTTAAATTCTATAAGCAATCATCATGAAACTCTTAGAAACAAGTCACTAGAAGTCCAATGCGCTATCCGTTGCTCCACAGAGCCACATTAGAAACAAGTTTTAATTGTGTTTAGTCCTAAGAAAACATATTATAAAATTCAACTATTGCTAGGAGATGGTGGAGCACAAGTTTAGTCCCAGTACTCAGGAGGTAGAGCAGGCAGATCTCTGTGAGTTAAGAGGCCAGCCTGGTCTACAGAGTGATTTCCTGGACAGGCTCCAAAGCTACCAAGAAACCATGTCACAGAAGGAGGAGGAGGAGGAGGAGGAGGAGGAGGAGGAAAATAAACTTACAAAAAGAAAGTGCAACCGTTTTCTCCACGTAATATTCTATTACTATATTTTAAAATAACATTTTAGGTTTGGAAGAAACCAGTTTGAACTGATGAACTTTGATGATAAAATCTTACTGGGTGGATCTGGGAGTACTTCACCATGGGACTCCCTGCTCCCACTTTCAAGTAAAGTGATCAGCCTGACATATCCCAGTTAGGGTAGGCACTCAGGCTGCTCTCCTCCAGCCTTGCCAAGAACAGTAGCCAAATAAAAGATCTGATCCAAACGTCCCAGCTGTCACCAGTGGCAAACTTGGGAGCTGAGCCTGTCATTATCTATAGCATACCCTAGCCAAGCTTCAGCTGACACTGGCGAGAAGGAAGGTCAAAGTCAGGCTGTCCATCACAGTCAAATAGGTTTGTGGAAAGTTTAACTTTTGTTACCCATCTTGGTTGCCAATTTTTGCATTTCTGTACTAGAGCTTATTCTATGAAAATAAAAAGTAGAAGAAAATCCATACTCCTGAATACAATATTCAAGCTGAATTATTAAATAACTTAAATCCTAGTTGATGGCTTTATTTTTTAGTAATGCAATACAAATGCCAAATGATAGGAATTTGTTGAAGATTTGAGTTCATTGTAATAGATGATATCTTTGCAAAATAAGATGGCTGAATCATGAATAAAATATATCTAAATGTTATCACTTCTAATATTTTAAATTAAATTTATCATCTAGTTGACCCTGCCAAGGGCACCTCTTTGCCTAATGTTCTCCCTTCTTTCTTCCTATCTCTTTCTCAGTTTACATACACTTATTTTGGGGGGAAAATCCAGAAAATTGTCCACTATATCAACTTTTCCATGATTCTGTTGGGAGAACTGGAAGAGATAGTCTGTAGTTAATTATTAATAGCTCTTTTATCATTCTCCTAGTTTTGGCATATACCTAATGGTGTGTCTTTCCAGGCCAACTCCAAAAGCCTAAAAGTCCTGGGCCCACTTTATAAGAATCTCTTCCTCTTTGGACAGACACTTTTGAAATGTATAGTTACGTCAGCTGGAGTAACTCAGTTAAGATGCAGATGATAAGTTTGCAGGTGGAGTTTTTGAAAAACTTATTTGTAGACAGATTCAGATGAGGTATAATTACCTATTTCTTTCTTTTTTTTTTTTTGAGGCAGGGTCTCATTATGTAACCTTACTTGCCCTGGAACTCACTATATAAACCAAGCTGACCTCAAACTCACAGAGATATAACTATCTTTTTTATTCCAGATGCTGGTACATGAGGTGTGAGTCACAACTTCCAGTTTATAATTATACAATTTATTATAAAATATTAAATTATAGCTTTCACTAAGATAAAAAGACCCAAGTATTTGTTTCAAAATTAATATATCTAAATCTGTTAGATATTTCACGTTGACAACTTTACTTAGTGTTTTTTAATATGCCACACTGTGTACATTGTTAAATAGCTGTAAAGCATTTAGAAAGAATTTTGTCAAAAGCAGTAGTAGCATGATAAATTCCTAGATTGCATTTACTAATCCCTTATATGTCTTAACACTCAGTATCAAATGATTATTGGTAACTATGGGATTTCAATACCAATCTCCTGATCACCCAGGTCAGAGAAAAGCAAGTGTCACAGTTGATGGCCTGGAGTGAGATTATAGCTTATTAACACTAATAATCACGTAGTGATAACTTTAAAGCACCTCTATTAATCCCAAACACGGCAGCAGCTATCACAGTCAGCTAGAAACACAGCTATGCATGGCCCCTTATCCTAGAGCTAATGGTATTTGTTTCCCTGTGTTTGCTTGGATTTTCCAAACTAACTGAGGGTTCTTGATTCCACAGTGCTATTGTGTGGATCAAGTGATGCTTGGTCACAAAAATACCCTGGAGACTGACTCCCCTGGCGTCCAGGTTCTGAGTGTGGTCAGGCATTCCACATGCCTAGCCGATGAGCTGTCTTTGCCATGATGAGAGTCTTCCTTCTCAGGTTTTGTAACCACCAAGGAAAAGTAAAATAGAAAAAGCTATTTTAAAAAAGAAGATATAAGGAAATGCATGCAGAAATCTTGGAAATAAATTTCCAAGATCAGGTGTATCTTTCTAGTGTTTTTAAAAGATATTCTTGCCCACACAAGAATTTTTTATAATATATGCAGAGAATTGCAAACATCTGCTGCATTGACTTCTTTAGTGTGAACCGTAATCAGATATTTCTAATTATACGTTTGCCGTGTATACATGGGATACTCCAGTTTTAGTCTCTTTTTGTGTTTTTTTTTTTTTTGTATTACGCACCACACGACTGAGAGAAAAGAAACGACCTTCCAAAACCGACCCTTTCCTCCTTTTTGTCTAGTCTCTGATTATGTCTTGAAGAGTGAAATTTTTAGGTAGCCTGCGCATTTTACGGCAGTGCCCTTCTAAAGCTTCGAGTATTCTTGGCGTCCTGAGACTAACGGAGCACAGCTCCCAGTGTGGCTCAGTCTCAGACTGCTGCTGGGTGAGGCTGGGGTGCAGAGTCCTTGCTCTGCCCGCCCGGTATCCGGCGCTGTGCCTGGATAAAGGTACCGGCTAGGCTGGATGTAAAGCCTCTCAAGGGTCTGCCTCAGGAACTCATCCCTTTGAAGGATAACGGGACTTGGCAGCGTGCAGTCTCGGGCTCCTCCTCATCTCTGGCCCCAGGATTTTACAAGCTTTTCACAAGGGACTCATGCTTGAGTCAGAGGAACAGAGGAGTTCTTTCCTGCCATACTAACTGGATTCCTGCAGGAAAAGGAACCTTAGCGTTCACAGACCGCAGCCGGTGGTCCTCCAGCCCCAGGTAAAAGCAGCATCTTCTGAGTTGGTTGCAAGAGCAGCGGGTGCAGCTTTTAGTTGCTGACTAAGCAGAACAGGACTGCAGCCTGCGCCCGCGCCTTTCCAGACCCCCAAGTGCTTGAAAGAGAGGGAACCAGCCGGGTCAAAGACGGAGCTCTTAGAAAGCCCTACAGCTTCAAACCTGCAAAGGGAGGAGGGGAAGGAGCCAGGGATCATGTGAGAGCCTTCTACCCTCCCTTCCTGACCCCTCCTGCTACCCTCTCGCCCGGACAGCTGTCCAAATCTTGTAATTTATTTGCTTCCCCCGCCCCGCCCCGCCCCGCCTTTCAAATACCACCCCAATCCAGTTTAGCCCCCTGCCTCACCCCGCTGACCTAATAAGGCCATGCACACTGCGGGAGACCTATATAAAAGTCAGAACTCTTGGGGACTTTGCAGGACAACTGGAGCAAGATAAGGAAGGAGCTGTCCAGCGCTGAGAAACTAGAAAGTGACCATGGCTAAGGAGTGGGGCTATGCCAGCCACAATGGTGAGTGGAACCCGGGCACTCACTACAGGGTTGCCCTTGGCATTGCACAGGTGTGCTGGGAAACCTGGGTGTAGGAGTAGTTAAGAACTTTCCGATGTCCCATGCTGCTGGTCCTTTTTCACGTGATTCACTGCTTTCCATCCCACGGAGGAACCTGAAGGTCGGAGACACACTGTAACTAGTCTAAGGTTTGATGATGTGTCTGAGAAGTAACTCAGTCCGAAATGAGATCCGGTTAAACCTTGCTCTGTAAAACTCAGCAGCGAGCCCTTGGCTTCTTTGAGCTTGGGTCCTCCTTACAAGTTTATTGCTTTGATTATGAGCCAGGCCTCAGCCATGGCCAAGGGAAGAAAAGTATATCCCAAAAGATGGAAAGTAATGTAAAAACACGTGATCAATATGGGATTCATTTCGAAGATAAGTTTTTCAGGCTTCATGATTCCCAAGCCAGGGGAGGTACTGCATAATATGAAATACTTTTCGAAAAGGTTCCAAGTAGGTTTGAAATGCAAATTACTGTATATGTTGCTTAATGAGAACCCACAACTTTTCTGTAACCACTCTCTTTCCTATGTGTATTTTGCTGGCTTAGTCCACTGGAAAGAGGCCTTGGTTGTACTATTAACCAAATAGATTCCTTTCTTTTACTGTCTAGGCCCTGAGCACTGGCATGAACATTATCCAATTGCCAAAGGGGACAACCAGTCACCCATTGAGCTGCATACTAAAGACATCAAGCATGACCCCTCTCTGCAACCCTGGTCGGCATCTTATGATCCTGGCTCTGCTAAGACCATCCTGAATAATGGCAAGACCTGCAGAGTTGTGTTTGATGATACTTACAACAGGTCTAGTAAGTAAAGCACTTAGGAACGGTTATGTGGGTGTTTTCTGTATCTATTGGCAAGATGCAATTTGTGGCACAGTAACAGAATTAGAGGGAAGAGGGAGAAGTTCATTTCTGAAATGGAGATGAAATTTGGTTTGACTCTAGTTGTAAAGAATTATATTTATGCAATGAAGAAGAATGTCATACCATGTAACTAACCTTGGTCACTCTGTTGCTGAAAAATGGCCATGTGCCCAAGCTAAACGTTAGCAACCCACTCTGTAGACAGAGTATGTGTGGTTGGTTTCTCTGACTTTCTGACTACTGAGAGATGAAATCCTCATGCTTCCTGATGGTTTGGAGAACAGGCTCCCTCAAACAGAAAGAAATCAATTAGATGCTCTTTTCTCTGGGTGACTGGAAGGAGGCCAATCAATGGGAAAAGGTAGAGTCACTGTGTGAGTTCAGGGGACGTAGGTTCATTACCTCACTGGGGTTCAGCCAAAGAATCTCTGTGGCAAGTGTTTCTGATGTATTTGACCACTCCTTCTTGCGTCAATGTTAGTGTGAAACTGGAAAATATGATTTTTTAAAGTCTGCACCGGCAACCAATCTGTGAAATAAAATAAGACTAATTTGGCTTCATTCCAGGCAGGCTTGATGACTCTCACACCTATAAATCCAACACTCAAGAGGCAGAGACAAGAGGATTGCCACAAATATGAGGATAACTTGGTCTTCCTGATGAGTTCCAGGCCAGCCAGAGTTAGAGTGAAACTTTGTTTCTATTAAGCAAGCTTTATTTCATTGCAAACAAGTCTAAATAAGAATTATTCTTTAGTTATCAAGAATGCAGTTTCCTACAACCACATTCCTCATAAGCTAAAATTTCCTTTGTTGATATACATGAATGAACATCCTGGTGATGTCATATGAAATAATGGTAGGATAAACACTCCTACTTTCCAGGTAAGGAAGATGACAGAAGCTTACCATTTCTTGAGCAATTGTTTTCTGTTGCTTTTTCCCATTTTTCTTTTGCTTTAAAAGCTGAAGCTCCATTTGGAAGGAAAAGCACAAAAAATTAGAAATCAGAATCATAATCGCATGAAATGCAATTTTTAAGAACAAAACATTGAATATTAGAGATTTAATGTGGTTTAGTCCAATACTTCAGAACCAAATCCAGATCACAGCTATTCTCAGTGATTGGACAGGAAACTACAACAAACCAAACCACCTCCTTCCCATATGATCAAATTGATTCAAGCCTAGAATTATTGCTCTAGCTCTGCACTGTGGGTTTGCCTGTGTCACTGAAAGAAACCAAGCCTTTCTAAAATAGCTGCTGTTACAATGCTATTTGCATCTAACTTACATTGCTAAATCTTGATTTTAGGGTTTTTGTATAGTTTTCAGTATCCTTTAGAAGATATTTCAACCTTTAAATTGCTCTCCAGGAAGAATGAATGGAGACAAAATTACATGAGAGATTTAGATAAGTGCTGTGTAAGTCCAAACGAATGTCCCCCCAATATATATATATATATATATATATATATATATATATATCAGTCTACCTAGTTTCCTGGGAACTTGTTGAACTTTTGTTTCATCTGACTTGAGCAGACAGTCTAAAGTAGATGAGTATGAGAGTTCTAGCTTTTCATCTAAGGAGAAGCACAACTGAAAGTGGGAGACTAAGAAGGAATTCCTGCCTTCTCAGTGATCTCTCATGGGGCACTGTGACATGAGTACCACTTAAGTGCTTGATCTCAGTTAATCCTCACAGCAGCTCGAAAAGTGGGGGATTATTATCACCTTCTTAGAGATCCAAGACCAATTCAGAGAGGTTGAGCATCTTGCCTGAGATCACACAACAATGAGGCCCCTAAATCCTGTCAAGTGTCCAGTTCTTCCCATGGTACTGCATTACTAACCCGTCCAGAGTCCTCATAAAACATCTGCTACTTTAGTTTGTTTCCTAAAGTGTTAAAAGGACAAGACAATCAAGCAAAAATAAGAGAGAAAAGAAAATTCGTACTTTGATATATTCTGACTTCAAGTTACAAACAGTTGGAGATGTCTCCATATTCCCAGAAGGGGACATCTTGTACCCATGGCATCTTCTGCAGAGTGCAGGTTTCAGATAGGGCTCTGTAGAGTAAGGGGGAACTCACCAGTGACCTTATTATCTTACAGTGCTGAGGGGTGGTCCTCTCTCTGGGCCCTATCGACTCCGCCAATTTCATCTTCACTGGGGCTCCTCGGATGACCATGGCTCTGAGCACACAGTGGATGGAGTGAAGTATGCTGCTGAGGTAGGAGGACCTGCCAGATGCACTCTAGGTCTCAAACGATCAAAACTGGAAACTCAGAAACAGCTGCAGTGCTCTTTCTGCTCTAAGCCTCTCACTGAAGGTATTATAGCTTTAGCATAAAGTGAAGCCACCAGATATCCTAGGCCGGAGAGAAGTGGACAAGTGGGTCAGCATCATCCATGAAGATTCTCCAGATTATGTTGAGAAACTGGCATAGTCTTGAATAGAACCAGAACAGTAAGGCAGTTAATGTGTGTGAAGCAACTATGTGCAACAGCTGATTTGATCCCCCACTACAACCACTTGTAAGAGGTTACAAATAGACAACATAAGGGTTACATACCCAGGTCTGGTCTTTGTACAGACTAGCTCAGATATCTCCCTTATGAGTACCTATAATGATTCAAAAACAACATTTAGTAATTACAAGAAATCCTTACTTTCTGCTTCTGCTTGCTTAAGGATGTATGTTTGTGTGTATACATCTTGTCTGAGGCAGTAATTTGCAAATGGAATAAGACAGACCACCTCCCATTTTATTAGAAAACTGAGTGTGCATAGCATTATTCTAGAAGTGAGAAAAATTCATTTCCCTGCTTCATTCTTTTCTAAAGCAGGTGTTGGTGAGCACTTGGATGTGATGAAAATGAGAGCACACTGTAGTTGATCCCTTTGAGGGCATCACTGAGTACTTAACTGTTGGCTAAATAAAACCCGAAGAAACTCCAAAAGCTACGCAGGCCTGACCTGGTTGGCTTCCAGATTAGATTGACATCAGTCACATTTAGGGGGATATGGCTATTTATCTAAAGCCAATCTAGAGAGCTGGGGTAGAGACCAATAAATTATTGGGAATGCCTCCTTGACTAGACATTTCCTCCACCACTGGAGAAAGTTCAGGCTAATTTTTTTTCAAATGTGGAAAAGGCTCTGAGTGTGGTGTTTGTACATGGGATTATCTCACATTTTTGAAACTGAATATAAATTTTTAACTGCTGTAATCTATTCTCTTGCCATTCTAAGCAACTCAATATGGGCGACTCTATTACTTAAGCTGTGCTCATATCCTAAATTATGATAAGCTTGCTGCTAGACACTCAAGCTCTAACTACAAGGAGGCAGATGAATTTATACACTTTTTATTTGAACTATTGAAATTTCACTGAACTATTGCTTATTAATATTTAGAATTCCATCAACTTCCATGTGAGTGTTCAGCAACAACATAGAGACTGCACACATTTGGGTCTCTTTTGAATAATAATGCGTATTTTCATATGCCAAGGTTTTATCTCACAGCCTGTGTTTGGTGGTTGCAGCTTCACCTGGTTCACTGGAACCCAAAGTACAACACCTTTGGAGAAGCTCTAAAGCAACGTGACGGAATTGCTGTTGTTGGCATTTTTCTAAAGGTGAGGTAGACATTGATGCTAGTTTTTTTTTCCTCATTCAGAATGTAGTCCCTTACTAACGTTTAGGAGACCATGCATTCTATTTTCCTCTTATATTTGAAGTATGTGTGAGGGCAGAAGGTTAAGGCAAGGACAAGTGGGAGTATGAGCATGACACGTGTTAATTTTCCTTTCACACTGCTCTATTTCCATCACAGTGGAAACAAGAAAGCCCAGTGCTGGGGACTTCTGTGATGCCAAGTGCCTGGCCAGACCTCCTCTCAGCTTAAGGGGGCCGCCACCCACAGGATCTCAGGCTAGGATGGCACAAGGAATGTGTGTGTTGTTCAGCCAGCCTTGGTTTAAATAGGACTTAGTGACATTAGCACATGAACCTTGTGGCAACCCAATCTGAGTTTTAATCAAGTGAATGACCTAGTTTGTTTTAGGTTCTGAATTCACTGAGAGGACTAGGAAGAGAAAGGCAATAAGTTTGATTGTGGAAATATAGTCTAGTTTTGCTTTGACTCTTTTAAAAAAATGAAATGACTTTGCAGAGAGGGTCAAGGAAATAGAGTTGAACTAAGATGTAATTTTGTGGTTTTGTGCTTCAGAGAACTGAAATCCAAATTTAGATCAGAAAATATATATTCTACAGTCTTTCAGAGTGAATAAACTTATGCTTAGCTTAACTCAAGACCATGGAAAGCTTACAACACCAATGGCATGTGCATGGGTCAAATCAACTTTTACGATGATCTCCAATTACGAGGGAGGGGAAAGTATTTTATTGAGTGTCTGTTTTCTTACAGATAGGGCGGGAAAAGGGAGAATTCCAGATTTTCCTTGATGCCCTGGACAAAATTAAGACTAAGGTAAGAGCGAATCATATAAGGACTGCAAACCTAAGTCAGAATGTATCAACTGTCTCCTGCCACTGTTTGATGGATATCCTATGTTTGCATACAAAATAAATGCCATGGTCTTTGTCTAGTGTTGAGTCCTTAGGGCACTTTAGCATCTATTATTCCATTTCTCAGTCAGCCTGTCAGATAAAGTCTTTCTACAGGAAGGTGCTTGAGAGCTTCCAGGGTCTTTTTACACACACACACACACACACACACACACACACACACACACTATTAACACGAAACTCTTCTAACTAACTGACACATTTTAGTTGTTTTTGAGATTATTCCAACTAACTGCTTTTAAGTGTGGACCCTAGAAGAAGTGAGTATTCTGAGTATGAAATGTTCTAAAGTGAAAGTCTTCAAATCAACTTCCAACAAGTATTCTTCAGTTCCCTGTGAGAAAGGACAGAATCGTAGCCTCACCCACCGTGAAAACAAGGAATATACTGCAGTGACTGTAACAGATCAAGTCAGAATATAAAGCCGATTCAGAGGTTTCGAAGCTGTTGAGATGTCTGCTTTCCTTTTCACTAGTGAAGTATGTTCTCGCGAATGAGTAAGTCAGGCCTCTAGGGGGCGCTGAGTGCGCGTGCCCGCTTAAATTGCTTGTGCCTGTGTTCCAGGGCAAGGAGGCTCCTTTCACTCACTTTGACCCGTCCTGCCTGTTCCCTGCTTGCCGGGACTACTGGACCTACCATGGCTCCTTCACCACGCCGCCCTGCGAGGAGTGCATTGTGTGGCTGCTGCTGAAGGAGCCCATGACAGTGAGCTCGGACCAGGTGAGAGCAGCCGCAGAGCCCTGGGTGTGAACTGCGGACAGGAGGCACACGCTAAAGACCAAACCCATAGGTGCTGAAAGCCAGATCGCTGGTGTGGTCCTCAAACGGTTCACAGTTTGCCCTCTAGAAATTCCCTCATCCTGGTTAGCTAATTTATCCAAGGGTAACGGGACAATGCAGTCTTGTAAGAGCAGGTGGGGGTCCTGAACTGGTGGGTTTCTGTTTGAGTGAGGGCTGGCTAGGAGGTGGGGTGGCAGCGAATTCAGTCCCGAGGAGGAGTGCTGTGCTTTTACCAGGAAAGAAGCTGAGCAACACACCAGTTTCTCCACAAAGACAAGCAAGCATAAACTCCTCGTCCCAGTCCCAGTCTGTCTACTTCCAACAGCCCCTGGCTGCTCACTCCCGCCTTACTTCCATTCATCTAAAGAATGGACAGGCAGAGTGGGTAAGACAGGGCTTCAGGGAAAGCTAAGCCGGTGCAGACATGGAGAACATAGTTAAAGTGAACCACACAGGGCTCACAGCCTGGAACATGGATGTCTCACAGTAAGATCAGCTCACCAGCCTGACCCCTTGGCCTAAGTTCCCTCCAGGGTGGACCCGAGAGTAAACCAACATTAAAAATAAATAAATAAAAACAAGAATTAGCTTTAACAGCCTTGTTCATTGGTATAAAGGCTTTAAAAGTAAAATGACAATTTTTAAATGAAGAAAGCGTAATATATATTAACATTAAAAGTATAACACGTGTGTGTATATGCATGCGTGTGAGCACATGTGTGATGATCAGTGGACAACTTGCAGCCCTCTTGCCCTGTAGTTTCCGGGCATCAAAGGTTGTCAGGCTTGCCATCAGCGTCTATACACACTGAACCGCCTAGGCTACCAAGACATAATATTTTTATGAGAATTTCCTATATTCTCATCCTTTAAGGAAAAAAGAAAGAAAAGAAACAGCTAACATTTTAACATAAAGCCCAGTTTTAATTTCTTTCTTGTCCTTTAAAGTAATTTCATAAATACTTGAGTTGGTTACATAGTGGAAGTCTATCAAGGAGTTACTTATTTGCAGGCACACAGTAAACCATCATCCCCTTCTATGTAAAGTGTATACCTCACGCTGATCCCTCAATTTACAACTCGGGAGAAATTCAATGGGGAAGGCGTTTGTCCAGAGAGCGGAGGGTCCTGGGTGTAAAGAAATGTTTGTTCTGAACTGGTGCTTGCCAACTCATAACCTATCCCTGGAGACTGGTTTTGTGGTTTGCCTCGCCTGCTTGCAAAGCCGACGGTTTCTAACAGTCTGCTTCCCCTTGCAGATGGCCAAGCTGCGCAGTCTGTTCGCCAGCACGGAGAATGAGCCCCCTGTACCTCTGGTGGGAAATTGGCGCCCCCCGCAGCCGGTCAAGGGTAGGGTGGTGAGGGCCTCCTTCAAGTGAGGTCCGGAGTTTTCCCTCTTCAGGGAAGAAAACATGCCCTGAAGAGTCGCCTGCCTGTCCCTGGTGCTCTGTGCGCTAAACTATTCTCCAACACCCAGAGGAAAAAGACGGCAGCCACATGAAACCGCAATGCCTTTTGACACATCTAACCCAGAAGCATGAATTTCACACCTAACCTTTGTAATAACCACCTTTTCTACAAAATTAGCATTTCTAATATGGGTTCAGTGAGGAAGAAATAGAAGAATAGAGATATAGAACAGAGGCTTACTGGGCGTCTTAAATTTCTCAGAACCTCAGGGCTCCTGTTTTCCAGCCCAGTTACTGACAGCACACAGGTCATGTTGTGCCCACCCTCCCACAAGTTAAGACAAGTTAAGACAATGTGTTTTACTCTTAAATACCAGCAAAACTCCATCGCTCATTAAAATTATGCATACTGTCATGTTTGCTTGGTTTTATTTGTCTGTAACACACACACACACACACACACACACACACACACGATCAGGTATTTTAAAATGTTTGCTCCAGCATATGAATTTCTTCTTCATAAAGATGATTTTCTTTGCCCAAAGCAGGGCCATTTCTTTTCTATTTCACTACTTTTATCTTTGCATGCCTTTTAAAATCATCATCATAATAAAAATAAAAACTGTCTCTGGTGTCTTTTGAAGTTGAGTCTGGAATGAATGATTCCTAGAACAGGAAAGAGTGGGTGACAACTGAAGCTGGTAGTTTGTATGGTCACAGAAACTATAAAGACAGATGCAGATGAAAAGTGTGTGTATCCCCTTTTCACACTGAAGACTTATATTAAAACACTTGTTTTAAGGTCGCCTATGAAGTGACAGATAAATTATGGCATTTTCATGCAGACACGTCATTATACTTTGCTCTAATTCAGCCTCTCCATCACTGCCCTTCCCTGTGACATCTTCCCTTCAACAGTCCCCTCTTCTGTGATAATGTCACAGGAATCCCATTGTCCTCCCCTGTTAATGTCACAGGAATCCCATTGTCCTCCCCTTTTAAGATCTCTCTCTCTTCCTCTCTCTCTTCCTCTGCTCAAGATCCCCTTCTTAGTTTCACAACCCTCTATATGTCCACATACATATATAACTTTAAGCCTAGGTTTTACATATGAAACAAAATATTAAGTACTTGTCTTTCTGAGTCTGACTTATTTCCTCTAACGAGAATATGCTAATTATTGGAAAAGTATTATAAATGATAAAAATTGAGGAAACCCAGAATGGTAAACTTTCCATGTTTGCTTATTTATTTATTTTTGTAACTGAAGGATAGCAATAAATGACTCATGTTCCAAATTGTGATGCCACATCCTTAGGAAAGGGGGCAAGGCAGTTTGTAAGGGCATCTAACTGAACTATAGACCTGAGCAGTGGGTGTTGGTTAGTCTCATCGAGTAGGTCAAGTTCAAGCTGATTAGGATTCTGGCATTCAGGCCAGTGCAAACAGCTAGTACTCCTTTTAGGGAAGACAACACCTTTTTATATCATTGTTTTAAAAGTGTACTTCAGCAAGATATGTCCCAACAGCCTTCTGCATATATTTGGCTTTTTAGTACATTTAATATCTCTAGACACCAAGTGCAGTTGTACAGTTGGAGGTTTTGGTTATCATTCATTGCTTCCTTCAGTGGTCTATATGTTAGCTATTGTAAAAAAAAAAAAAAAAAGACAGCAATTAGCACATTGCCTTAAAGAGTGAAAAGTGAAAATGGCCCTGGGTCAGGAGAGCCCTGAGACGCTGGAAGTCAAATCACATGACAAAGTCCTGTGAGGCTAAAGTTATTTAATAGATTACCACTTGGGTGAGGTAAAACCAGGTTGGTCAGTGTGAGGAGGATGTGTTAATTAAATCCCTTGAAATTAGGAGGTGTGGAGCTCTGATCATTAGTGGTAATACACAAGCTGCTTGTCTCAGGGTACTGAGTTTGCAATGTTCAGAGCCCTGTGAAGAACGCATTCATTATTTGGGCTGTGTGTGGGAGGCACATGGTCTCACCTTGGGTAGAAATGTTATTATTTTAATACACAAGCTGAACAAGGCCGGGGGAGGCTGTCTCCCTATACCATATGCACAAAGAGGGCATAGGCACTATTCTTGCCACTGGCATTCACTTGTCACCTTATACTCTGTCCAGCAAGAAAAATAACCACTTGTTGAGTTTTGTATCAACAGATGACATCATGAAAAGAGAGGGCAGGGGAGGCTCAGCCTCTTGAACTTCACAGCAATTTGAATAATAATACTAATGCCACCTTTCTTCCTCTTCGTTTACATCTTCTTGAAAAATCATTTCATTGTCTGTAGGCGGAGACTTTACAGTGCCCAGTCTGTCATCTCTGTCAGTGATGAATAGTGCACATAACAATCAACCATCTGAACAACCCCCCCCACACACACACACACTTCTCACTGCCCCGGTAATGCAGTGCCATAATAAACCTCTTTTGGAATATTGAAGACAGGCCTGCTTCTGCATTCAAGGAACCATCATTTTCCAGATCAGGTCAAGGACTCCAAACAATGGCACTTCAGGCTTCTGTAGTTTGCAGAGTGGTGTTCCAGGCGCTGCCAATTAAAAAGGCTCCAGAACACCTTATTCCTCAGCATGTAATTGCAGGTATCTTAACATTTCAAAGCGGGGAGACACTGGTGTAAATTAAGTGTTTCATAATGTTCAGATAATAGCATGCTTAAAAGCCTACAAGGATAGCAAACTGGCAGACTGTTAGGTTTTTGAAGGGTGCAAATACATTATAGTCCCCGTGTCTGTAAAATGGAGAGATACTGTATTTTTGAAAGGCAAATAATAATTCAGGATTCCAATGTAGACTGTTTTCAAATGTAGAAAAAGTGAATCATTTTGTGGAGGGATGAGAGCTATTCTACATAGACACTGCAAAGCTATAGTTCTCAGCATCTAACTGTGGTCACTTATGTCATTAAACAAATCTAGTTGAGATGAACTAGCCATAGATACATTTGGAAACATTTGAAATGCCAATACCATCAGATACCAGAATAACGACTGACACAGCAGAATAAAATAAACCCATATGGTCTCAAAACTCATTAATTGCATCTCCTAAAAATTAGTTCTCGATTTTCTTTAAGGCTTTATTCTATATGAAAGAACTCTGGACATGTATAGTATAATGTTTAGCATATGAATATTAAAAGGAGTAAGAAGAAACAATAACTCTGTATGTCAGAGTTTAATTATCTCATATTTAATGTATGTAAATTTAATGGTTTTTAATTAAAAGACTCCCTGGATAGTAAGACTTTAAATGCAAATAAATCCTAATCTTGTTTACATGTTATTTTCATTTTGAGCACTAGATGGCAATAAAACCTCTATTACAAAAATAGTAGCCTTTCAAAGCCATCCCGTGTTTCAATCATGTTGACATACAAGTTGCTAAGCTTTTAGAAGATTTTTGAACTGACACCTTGTTTCCTTTGCTTACATGTTTACTCTTATCTATTGATGTTGACTGGCCAAGGAGATGAAGGAGTTCCACTTTTTCCTAAAACCTCAGCAGGAAAAGGAGAGCGAGAACTAACAGGAAAGCAGTTACTGAACTAAGAATGAGACCACTCAGTACTGAGCAGTTTAACGTCCCATTTAGTGTGTAGAGGGTGGGAGCATCAAATCACACAGCTGGACAGGAGACTATGAGGGGGGTGTCATCTCTGCGTGCCTGTGGGGATGGTAACCATGCTCATAGGGAGGATATTTTAAGAATTAAACAAATCAATACACTTAAAATACAAAACAATGACATACTGACAATATTCTCAATAAGGGTTAACCTTTATCTTCTTAAAATTAATATTACCTCAATTCAGGAATTACAATCCCAAAAGTCATATTTTAATGTACCGTTTTTGTGATGTTAGGAATTTACATCTCATTTGTTCAGACTGTAGGAAGAGGTATGAGAATTCCCATTTACTTCTGCTTATGACCTGATTAATTCCTTAGTTTATCTGTGTATAGATGCATGTAGCTAACTAAATGAAAAATTACCATTTAGTTAGCTGAGTAGCTGGTTTTGTAGCATGCGTGTGCGTGCACGCGTGTGTAGGTGAGTGCTCGCATGCATTTGTGTGTGCGCGTGTGTGTGTCAGAGCGCTCCTGTGAATGTCAGAGGATAACTTTTGGGAGACAGTTCTTTTCTTATGCCATGAGGGTCTTGTCTTGGAGGATCAAGCTCAGGTCTTTAAACTTGACAGCAGGAGACTTTACCTGCAGAGTCATCTTGCTGGCCCGGTGATACTATTTAAAAGCATTAACTCGGGTACCACATATGAAGCAGAGAAACCAAGATGCAGTCACACTGAATCAAAACACCTCCTGAAGTGGTAGTTTGGAGGAAGACTAAATAATTTTTCCTGAGGAAGTTTCTGCCTCTGGAGCTCCGTTGTTACTGGACAAGGTTCATGATTGGTGAGATATTAAGAAAACCAAGCCCAGAACAGACGCCAGAGAATTGCCATGTTTACATTTGTTTGACACTGACTTTTAAATGTCACGAACAGGGTCTCCTGCAGTGCTGAGCCAGGTGAAAAAGCCATCCTAATACCGAAGGCGGAAAGTCTCCTGCCATGAAATTAATTTTGAGCGTGCCTGGGCATGTCTTAAAGTGAGACTGCCGAATACGAGTCACCTCTGGGAAGAGCGTTTACGCTGCTGCAAGCTTTCAACTCCAATGGAACGAAGTGAAACCAGGCAGTCTAAGCATAACGTCTATGATGGAGGGATTGGGCAGTGCTAATGACTCATCTTCTGAGGATGTGAGGGTATTTGGCAGGTACAACCTGTGACAGCTCAGCCAGGGGAGATAATCACAGGTGATCAGCAGGAGTTAGAGCCAACAGAGTCCAACAGCACAGCCCCAGGGGACAGAGTGAACTGCAGAGGCACAGCCCAGTGATCTAAAAGCTAATTTTAGCCAGTGGAGAAGCTACTCTGCAGTAAACAGGGAACCGGGTTCTCCCTGCACTTGAATGAGCCCCAGGTAGAGGAGCAGGAAAACCTCAGGGAGAACGCTTTTCCATTCAGTAAACATTTTCTCTGTTCCAACTTGCCTGTAAATTTCTACCGCACTCCTGTGCTCATTTGAAATTGGATGGTTCCAAACACAGTTGTTAAAGTCATTCCCTAAAGGCCTGCTGATTCCCATGGAGGCATCATACAGATGGAAGTGCCAGAAAGTGCAAGGCTCTCAGAAATCGCACTTCTGCCTCTCTGTGAGCGGTTTGGAGCAGGACCTCAGGTCACCAGGGGCATACCTGGATGGAGCAAGAGTCCCAGAGAGAACAGCAAGGGTGATGAGACTGTGCAAGCCAATCAGAGCAGATGTGAGGGCAGAGCCCAGTGCTGGGCAGGTATGAGAGAGAAAGACCACATACAGTTCAGTGAATAGAATGGGACCCACGTTCTCGCTGCCCATACTATTTTAGGACGAGCAAATGTATTTGAAATTTCTGTGTGAAATGAAGGTTGGCGTGGGTTACTGTGGGAGTGATGAATAGAGGGGACAGACAGCAAGATTTTAGGGCAGTAAAGACTTGATCTGTTTTGTTGCACTAAGGCCTGACGACCGAATTAACTTAGAACC